ACACACACACACACACACACACACACACACACAAACACACACACACAAACCTCCTGATGAATTCTTGAAGTCCAACCAAAACAGTCTATTACAGTCACCACTTCTCGTGCCAAATTGTGTTTAGTCAATTTAGTGAATGCAAAACACACACACAAGGGGAAAAAAAAGAAAAGAAAGAGAGAGGCACTTTTTAAACCATGCTGTATTTTATACAATCCAATTCCACGCTTGACAAGAACTCTGAAAAAAACTTGTTTCCCCACAAACAGCTACAAAAACTTGATTGTACAATTGTTAAACATTACCACCACGGCAAAAGGGCGTAGCTCTTGAGCAAGATGCAACAAATGGAGCGCAAAAGTCACAGAGTATACCAGAAGTAACAGCAGATGTGGCTGTGCCCCGATCTCCCCTCTCCTTGCTCACGAGCAACACCACTTCCTCTCTTGCTCGACTTCCAAAAATCGCAAATGAAAACTTACCAAAAGTGGCAGCCCAAACTACTCATTCTTTACTTTCGTCAAACGGCATTGCCTGACGAATGGGCAAGAAGGACATGCAAGTGTGAAACGATTAATCTCCACTACCGTCTTCCCTGCAATCAGACTTGTCGACTTCGGCATTCAGCATGCATACGAACAGCTGACAATCAAGCTGGCGACTCTTGCCCACACAAAGCTCAGAGATAACGAGGCCACAAACACAGTTCAGATTCAGACTTGTCCCAAACGGATATGGCCGCAGCTTGTTCGTACATGCACAACTCTGGATCTCCCTGGATGTCCCGCACACACCCTCAAACACGAACACACTCTTACACACACAAGCACACACTCACATCTACTAACATTCTAGCACTAAGCTATGGCAGCTATGGCTTCCTTCTTCTACACTAACCCCACCAGCGGCTATGGCCGCATCTTCTTCCTCTCAGCCCACTTCTACCACGGGCACCTGCAGACCTCCGCTCAGGCAGCGCTTCCGCATGGCTCACAGGCAGAATGAATGTCTGACTTGACGCTGCCTCTTGATTTATACTTCGGATTGTCAAGGGTCTGCCCTTGGACCCTGGGCCCGGGGTGCACACAGTCCCACATGGTACTTGCTGACTTGACAAAGTGCAACTGGGACTGGGTACCGCTGACTGGACAGAGTTAGTCTGCCCACTTGCCCACTTGCCTATGGTCTACGTTCTAAGACCTACGAAAGGTCGCTTCCGGAAGCTCCGGAAGGCTGTGGACTTGACCCTACAGCACTGTAGCAGCTACGACCTTAACTCTTGGGGACTGTAGCAGCTACGACTCCTACCACTGCCAAGACTCTTAACCTACAGACCTGCTGTTCAAGACCCCACTACCACCCTACCTACAGCAAACAAACAGGCAACTTTCAAGACACAGGTCGCAGGTTCAAGCGCACACAGGTCAACTGATACTGTACACGGGTAAGGGCGAGGTCTGGGGATCGAGCCCTGGAAACTGCATCTGCTACCGCAAAGGTGAAAACAGTTTTCCCCCGAACATAACACACCACGATAATGACTGTACACGAGCAATATTTCCGGTCAAGTACAGCCGAAATGAGGTTGCATTGTGTTCGGGGGAAGACGGTAGAAACCCACTCAACGGCCTATGGTCCACCAGATGCGCCTCAGCCTGCTAAAAGACTCAGACATGGGTACAAATCCCGCCACTGGCAACACTGAATTCCACATCCCACAGAGGCCGGGTTCAAAACCCAGCAGCTGCACTGCATTTAGACAAGCTACTCAAACTGATTCCTACAGAGGCTGCCATATATACGAGAGCAACTTAAACTCTCATTCCTAAAGTCCCAGGATCAAACCCCGGCTGCTACAATCACTACAAGAATAGCAGCAACACACATGCGGCTCGGCTACGCCCAACAGGCGCGGATAAGTAGGAGGCAGGTTGTTGGACCAAACAATTTTTTTTTTCTAGCAGCAAGTGGGAAAAACTTTTGAAGCTTGCAGAGTCATCAATTCGAAAGGACGGCAACGAACAAAACCTGCGACTCACAAATTTAACAGCACTGAGCAGTGAGCACACCAAAAAAAGCAGTCGAATTGTAAAATCTCTGTCAACATTTTCTCAACACTTCAAGATACCGTATCTTGCAACCATGTGGTCGAAAGCTCAGTTGCATACCGACATCTTTCAATTTGATGACGTGGACAACTTGGGGGAAAAGGAAGGCTGCCAAGGGTGTGAGCTACACGCGCGTGGTATGCCTAATGATAGGTCATGCCTGAAAGCAGCACGAGAAAGTCAACGAACGGCTTTGATGAAGCAGAAGGTAAGGTTAGGATGACGGACTTGATACGTGAAGCCGGTCCCATTCCAGGCCATACGTTACTGTCCACGTCTTGATGTTTAGAATTGTCCTCTGCCTTGGAGAGAATGCAAGCATGGCAGGCCTTTTTTTAAGGAAGGACGGCGGACTTGAGAATATCATCTTGAACGGACCGGCCCCACGCAAGTCAGCAACTCGCCCAACTTTTATTTTCTTTTTTTGTTTAAAGAAAGGCGACGGCCTTGAGATATCATCATCGAACTGACCAGCCCTAGGTAATTCAGAATCGTAATATTTTACTCATCTTCTTCCAGTGGAATTCGAACTCGGGTCTGTATTTCAACAGTTCAGGGGTGTACCAACTGAGCTAGACCAGGTGGTAGAAACTCACCCAACTAGTTTCATCTGGATTTAACGTCTGAAGACTCTGAACTCACGTCTGTATTTCCAACGTTCATGTTAGGCCATTAACGTTAAAAAAAAAAAAAAAAAAAAAGACGACGACGACGACCACCACCTTGAGATATCATCATCGAACTGACCGCCCCTAGGTAATCCAGAATTGTAGTATTTCACTCATCTACTTCTGCTGGAGTTCGAGCTCGGGTCTGTGTTTCAACAGTTCAGGGGTATACTACCAACTGAGCTAGACCAGTTGGTTGCAAATCAAGACTTCTAAAAGAAAGGGGCGACCAGAACTGGATTCCTCTTCACTCTCGTCGACTCCCAATACGTGGAAGACGCCACTTTTAAGTTTCTTTTTTACCTTTTTAAAAAAGTTTTTTGTTTTTTAATATAAGGGTGACGGCCTTCAGATATCATCGTTTTACTGACCGGCTCCAATTAATTCAGAATTATTTTGTCCTGGTCTGTATTTGTCATCTGATTGTGTCTGGATTCAAACTAGGCTCTGCTGTATTTCAATTTTCAACAGTTCATGGGTGTATCGACTGAGCTAGGCTCGTTCTATGATAGGCATACAGATATCTTTCAAATGTAATGAGATGGAGACGGTGAGGGAAAAGGAAGCGAGATTAAGTTCGACAAGACTGATGTCCCTTTACTTCCTCACTCTCTCTGATGATGATGCGAATCTGATGAGCTCTGCTCTAATCAGGGAATCGATTTCCGCGGATTGACATAAGCACGAAAAAAAAAAAAAAAAAAAAAACACAAACAAGAGAAGTGGGGGCAGGGGTGCTTGGTGGATGGAAAAGACGAACAAGGGGAGCAAGGCGAGGAATAAGGAGAGTGGAGAACCGACGATCAGCTGATTTTCAACACATACCAAAACTCCCACGCAGAGGTTCCTCCCGACGCATACGTATGAGAGGCATTGACACTCTCCATAAAGAACTCTGCAATTCCCTGGAGGCGAGCTTCCATCCATGCGCCACCAAAAAAAAACATCACACAATCAGATATCAAGCTAAGTTGAAGTTGTCCTTCGTCTTTCGTTTCTTCATTGTCTTTATAATCTTTCTCTTCATTGTTCTCTCTTTATTCCACCAATTACGTGTGCTTTGTTGGCGATGTACTGTTTTTGTAATCTGAGTGTGCCAGAAAAAAATATCATGACCAGCGCTCCCTTGATAATCAAGCACGAACAGCGAGCAGGCATTCGTAAATCACCGAAGTCTAACCGAAACCCAAAAGATAAACTCTTCTCAATCAACATTTGAGTGTATGCCCCAGATGAACAAACTGCGATGGTCTTCCTCGTGGTTCACTCTTTCAGTTACATTCTTAACTGGAAGATTAACAGCAAAAGAGCTTCAAAAGATAGATTAGATTACTACCGTTTGCATCCGAATAGAACGCCCGGTCATTCTAGGTGTATTTGGGCAACGTCCAGTCCAGCTGCAGCGATAATGACCAGGCGCTCGATTCGGGTTAGTCCGATTCAGGCTCCAAGAGCTTTGTGGTACCAATCATGTCTTTTGTAAACGAGTGGATGGTTCACTTAAACAATACAATTCGAGTGTACCATCTTCAAAATCATTTTGAAACAAACGGTCCCCAAAAAGGAAATCCAATTAAAGACATGCTGCCTATTAGCATCATAGCATAAGTAAAAGGTAACAAAGAAGCTAATCCTCCCATTTTGCGCATATCTTGTTCATCAGACATYGCATGAATCACAGAACCTGCACTCAAAAAAAGTAATGCTTTAAAAAGAGCATGGTTCATCAGATGAAATACACTCACAGAATAATTGGAGACACCACAAGCGAATACCATATAACCTAATTGGCTACAAGTAGAATAAGCCAGAGCTGTGCAACAATTGGATCAGACAGAACACATGCTACCTTCTTCACCCAAATACAACGTACGGACATTATAGTTGTAATTGGGGTATCTTTCCATCCAAATACAGCAATAATGACCGTACGTCATATTCGGGAGAAGACGGTAATCTGATTATACTGTTAGCCAAGAAAACATCAACTGAATGCTCACAGGCCGATGACTTGTGGCGAGCACTCCACTTGCCTCAGTCAATTGATGCCCTGCACCCGACACAATGGCCCGTAGGTGGTCCCATAGGTGGCCCCAAAGGGAATTGAATGTACGGTGCTAGATTGAGGTGGAGGGGATTGGATGATCAAGCACCGATAATGAGTATCCAGACTGATCATTGTGGCTGTATCTTAGACTCAAATTCTCCAAATTTGTGACCAACCATATCTTCGGTAATCTGTAAACCAACAAAATATTTTATTATTTTCCGTTATAAACTCGTGCATAGTAACCGACAAATTTAGGCACAATACAAGATCTACGTGACCAAATTTTCCAACTCTGGCGAGCCACACACAAATGCTTTTTGAACAGACGCGCATCTACAAATGGACCTTGTGCTGCTTTAAAATTTAAATACAGCGAAAATGAGTACGGGACTACCGTCTTCACCATAGTTGTGGCGCTAAAGATTGCAGCCCAGCACTCCAATCAAACAGAGTTTTCTTTTTCTCTTTCTCTTTATCGAGTTTATTTTCTTTCGTTCTTGCATTTTTCTTTCTTTCTTCTATTTTTCTTTTTGTATTTGATCATCAAACAGAGGTTAGGGTAGCACAACCACCATTTGTTGACAGGGGCACCAAGGCCAGGGCTCCCATCAGTGTGTTAAGGCTGTGCTATGCTGGAAAGAACCTGGCTGGTTTGACAACCAGGTTCATGCGCTCTGACCACAAAACAAATAAAACATAGCACCAATGGGGATAGGCCTTCATCACAGATGCTATGCAATTTGTGTACAAAGTCCAATGCGAGCTGGGAAAGCCATGGGTGCTATGCTTGTGCAATGGTAGCAAGAACCTGACCTATTTTTATGACCAGGTTCATGTTTTCTGAGCACAAACATAGCACCAATGGGACCTGGCCCTAAGCACAGGTACTACGCAATCTACCACAGCAAGCAGATAATAATATATCAGGATGAGAGAGATTTTTTATGATCATTACCCTCCGGTTGGGAGCAAGACAATTCAACGGGAAAAAAAAGGAACTTTAATACACTTTATTCAATTTATTCAATATTATTGACTCTAATTAACAGCAAAAAAATAAAAATAAAAAAATTATGTTTCAATTTCGAGGTTTTTATTTAAAGTCCAGTGCCATTTCAGTATCCCACAGGTGCTATGTTGTGATATGCTAACAAGAATGTGGCCCGTTTTACAACCAGGTTCATGCTTTCTGGGCAAAAATGTAGCACCACTTATGGCCAAGCCCTTGGCCCCAGGTACAATGCATACTACCACAGACAGATTGTGGACCGAGTGCAATGCCTTTCACTCAGCATTATCTTTTTTTTTTTTTTTTTTTTTTGAAGCATGATAAACTCGTGAACCATTGTCATGTGTGACACTTCATACATCATCTCCGCACCAATTACATGTTCGCACTACGCAAGCACAAACCTGGCCGGTTTTGCAGCCAGGTGCATGCTTATGCAGCACAAACATAGGACCAGTTGGAGGCTCACTTCATACATCATCTCCGCACCAATTACATGTTGGCACTATGCAAGCACGAACCTGGCCTGTTTTGCAGCCAGGTGCATACTTACGCAGCACAAACATACCACCAGTTGGAGGCTGGCCCTAAGTCCAGCTGCTATGCATTCAACCACAAGGACAGCATGTGTGTAAGTTGCAATGCCAGCTCAGCTTTATCACCTTGTAGATGACATCATGTGTAACCTCGTACCGCATCTGTGCACCAATCACGACTGGAATGTGCGTGTTGACGTGATATCCCGATAACTCATCAACCTGCAAAGCCAAGGAAGATCGATGCAAAGCCAAGGAAGATTGATACAAACCCAAACATCATGCAACCAGTCCGTCAGTAGTCAGTCGTTCAGTTAACTGAGGAACCAAAGCAAGCAGGCAGGCAAAGCAAGCCAAACAAGCAAGCAAAGCGAAGTACTGCACGCAACCATGCACGCAATCACGACTGGAATGTGCGTGTTGACGTGATATCCCGATAACCCATCGACCTGCAAAGCCAAAGAAGATCGATACAAACCCAAACATCATGCAACCAGTCAGTCAGTAGTCGGTAGTCAGTAGTTCAGGAGAGAGAGAGAGAGAGTTGCATACCCGATGGAGGTTGCTTGATGATGCGCAGATGAGCGCTTGTTGACTCAAACTCAGAATCTGTATTATATGATGTTGCCCTGATGAGCGCTTGGTGACTCAAACTCTGGCTTTGTAGAATATGATCATTCACTGAAGTTTATGAGCTGCACTAATCTGGTCTCTCCATCGCTGGACTTGCGTGTCGATTCTGTGTGAACTCTCATGGTGAATATGCTTGGGGTGTCAATATAAGTGGTGGTTCATATTTCCAGTCACTAGTTCAGTTGACTTATGAACCAAAGCAGGCAAGCAGGCAAAGCAAGCCAAACAAGCAAGCAAAGCAAAGCAACCATGAAAGCAAAACAAATCAAAGATAGCCAGACAGCAAGAGAGCGAGAGAGAGCAAGAGAGCAAGAGAGAGCAAGAGAGCAAGAGAGCAAGCCAGCAGCCAGTCAGATAGTCATCCATAGCAAGTTGGATCAGGCTGTGTTCCTGGACTCGATCTGGGATCATAGTCTGATTGGTTGCTCATACTGGAGTGGAGTCTCAGTGCTTGGGACTTCCAGGTTCTCTTTGGTACCATAGTGGAGTCCCAGGTCCGGAGCGCGGGGGCTTCGGTGAGGGGACACACTCCAGCTCACAACCAAGCACTGGAAAGTGAAATCGTGCAAGCCAAGCACTGGAAAGTGAAATCAACAAACAAAAAAGGAGAGGAAAGGGGAAAAAGGAGGGCGGAAAGAGAAACGAAGGGGTGACAGAGAGAAGGAGGGGCAGGGGTGGGGGGAAGGGGAAGGAAAGCAGAGCGTAACAGCGCCACGGGGTTTCAAAATGTGAACAAGGGTATACCACTATACTCAGACTGGGATTTCCTTCGATGTTTTCATCCGTAAAAACATCCAGATTCAGTCAAAGTTCTGAACAACGTTTTAAATATATTCATCCAATCAAAGAATTGATTCAATCTGTGACTTTTTCAGGTGGAAAATGGAAAATGGACCGATCCGACACTCCCCAGAATAGAAAAGGGGCCAGCACCATCAGGTCCTGCTCTTGTGTGTACGTAAAGTCAATGATTAGTACCGTCCGTGCAGTAAGTGTGCCTCCACCAAGTATCCAGAGGCTGCCCCCGGGAAAACAAAAGTGCAGAATTCGTTTTTGGAGGATGATTCTGCGTGGTGCTGGTTCGTGAAATCAAGCAGTGCGCTGTGTGGGGAGGAAGACAGCCATAGCTGAAGTGGTAGCGCAATCGTGTTTCCATCTAATAGCTGTTGTTTTCGTTTCTTTGGAGTAGAAATCGCACTGTCGAGCAGCACTCGTAGGGGAGAGCTTTTGCTTGGTGGAGAGTGAGCCATTGAGTTGGAGCATCACTTCGATGATCAGGGAGAGGATCCTAGGACAGAGCGAGAGGAGAGGAGACATGCTTGTATCGTAGAGTCTGCATGAGGTGAAGTTTCACTGAGCTCTCGCATTGAACTCTGATCTGCACCCTTGTAGCAGCAAGTGACAGAATTGCGTTGTGGGGAAGTTTCATTGAAGTCTCGCCTTGAGACTTGCACGGACAACTTGCCTTGCCTGGTTACCTTTGACTCTGCAAGCGAACGAGACTGTGGGGGCCGACCCACCATAGCTGCATCATCTACGATTTTGTGGGTGTGTGGTATTTGGCGATTGTAACGCTCAACTTCCATTAAATTGAACTGTCTGACCATTTTGAAGAAGAAGGCAAGCTTGACTTCATGTGTTTGGTGTGATTGCCATACCTGCACGCTCATATGGAATGGATGATGCATGGTTTATCCGATTTTATGTCATCTGGCTAGCGAAGCAGGGGCGCTGGTCGAGTGGCGGAGCAGCCGGAGAGGTAGGAGTGGCGGAGCAGGAGCAGGGGAGTGGCGGGGAGCGGCCAAGCAGCGCGAATGGTGGAGCGGAAGGAGCAGCGGAGCGGTGGGAGTCGCGAAGCGACTGAGAAGATGAGTGGCAGGACCAGCTGGAACCACAGGAGGAGGAGTGGAGGGGCAGAGCAGCAGGAGCAGGGGAACGGTGCAGCGGCAGAGCGGCCGTACACATCCTGGAGGACGTAATCACAGCTGTCCTAAGACAAAAGCCTGCTTCTCCTGGTGCTTTGGGTACCCACTCATCAACATTGCCCTGGTGATCAGACTGTGGTGCCCCCTCTGCTTGCTAACGCAGTCAAAAAATTATAAATACAGTGGGATGAACTGGAATCACAGTAATGACTACTCCCCTTTATGAGTTTTTATCATAAAAGAATCTTCATTTATGCCATTTGGCGGAGCCCTCTGTATACATCACAGAGGACATACATAGTCAGCCTTGTCCTAGAAAGAGAAGCAAACCCTGAACCCCTTTTCCTGCTTCACATGTTAAAACAAAAACAAAAAAAACAAAAAAACAATTTACACATTGAAGTTGATTGAACTTGAGTGAAGTTTACTTTTCTGATTAATAGTAATTTAATAACACATCGAAGTTCAAAAAAACACGAAGTGGCAGGAGCGTAGGCAGGTAGGAGAGCAAGGCACACTTTTTTTTTTTCTTTCTTTTTTTGGAAAGTCGTTCACGTTTAGAGTCGCCCGTCACACGACTCACATTATTCTACCCTCACCTTCAGTGCCAGGGGCCCCAAGAAGCATGGCTTGTCAAAAAGATGTGCCAGTTCCAAGTGCTCGGGATTTTTCTGTGGGACAAACAATACAAATTAAAGTTAAAGAAAATCGACTTTTCGCCAATTTCATTGCCTTCCCTTCATGCATTACGTCACTACGACTCACGAGGACATTCTTGGTTGAATTTGACTATCTTTCCAGTCAGTTACATCCACGCAGCAGGTGTCTCCACGAAGAACAGCCAAGACACACAGGAAAGAAAAGGCGAGCTATGCATGCAAGCAAGAAAACAACTGCTCGGAATAGAAGGGTTAAAAAAAAAAAAGAAAAAAAAAAAACTGGTACCGGTTGCATGTTGATCATTTCGATCAATTTCTGCCTCTTGAGTTCTGATGCATGGGTCCTGGGGACCATCTCACGCAAGTGTGTACATGCCATGCATCGTACTCCCACACACAATGAACAGTAGTCTGACAATAGACAAAGATAGAGAAGATGAGGACCGAGTTTCACAGTTTATRWTATCAGAAATAYGAATAMRAARTGTTTCAAAGTTCCCCTGAGTCCAGCGCTCATCAGCGCAACACCAATATCTTGCCAACTCATCAATATGCCTTCCAGTGAATCAGTGCTACCCCTGCAGATAGTCTCCAAGTCATCAATGTGGTCACCACTCATCAGCACCACCTCTGCAGGTCACATCCAACTCAGGTAAGTATCTTCCATAGCCAACCTTGAATGAACACTCTCAGCCTCRATCCCTTCCTCCTATGATGCATACACACTCTTCAATACTCATGAGGATCTACTCTGGATACTACTCATAGCTACATACTAACCCTCTACTACTAATGCTAACTCGCTGGGCAGCTATGGCTGCATCACTTCCAGCGTACAGGCTTCTTCCTCCCTCCAGCGCATCTTCTCCTCCAGCGCTGCTCCTCCTGACTCAGCGCACAAGTGCACCAGCACTTCCACGCATTGCAGCCAGTGGAGATCTGGCGAGGAATGAGGAAGGCAGCTCTTTTTATAGTGCTGGCCACTCCTCGCTGGGTCTGCATTGGCTCAATTCAGCCTCTCCCTTTGTCCCAGACCCTGCATTGCATGTGTCCCAGTACAGTCCCAATGAGATTCAACTGCTGCTGAGGCACTTCGGCCTGGATTTGGACTTGAAAGTCTGGATCTGGACTGACCCCTTGACTTAGACCAGAACTGGGACTGTGCCTACTGACTTCACTTTCGGACAGGCACAACTCTAAACGAACAGACACATTTACTACCTGAACAGGCACTTTCCATTGCACGAACAGGTACACTGCCTACACGTACAGACACACCCTTACTCGAACAGACATGACATACACATCTCCTGGKGARCAGGTAAGTCYTTTGACAATGCCCTTTGCCTTAGATTTAGATGTGCCTGTTGATAGAGAACTTGACTTTTGACCTGTTTTCACGTTTCTGAGCCCTGGCAAGATACCTTTTCACAATGCTTTACTTTTACAAGGCCAGTGCTGCTCTATTTTTACAAGGCCTGAGGCCTATATCGGGTAAAGGCCCTTTTACTGATAAATTTCTTTTCCCTAAAATAGTAAAATGCGGCAGTCTTAACAATACCGTTTTGTTCTTTTCCTTTTTTTCCCCCCCTAACAACAACATACGGATTCAATCAAGACTTGAACTCATAGTCTGTTCGTTAAGCATTACAAATGTGTGTAGTACTGTGTACCATGGCTCGTTGGTAAATCCACGGACTGTTGAAATACAAAATCCAAGCTAGAACCCAGATGCAATCAGATGAACAGAATAAGATAACCAGTCAGTCCAATGATGACATCTCAAGGTCGTTGCCCTTCTCCACACGAAAAAAAGAGGTGTACCATTCAATCACAGGGCCTGGGTAGTTCGGTCAACTTCTGCCGTCTCCAATTCTCAAATAAATTCTTTCTCTTCACGGTAGCAGCGACAGACCCTTCGTAACCACACAATCACTAAATAAGAAAATGGCCAATCACTTCGGAACATGGATAGTCAATATCCCCTCAAGAACAGCAAAGTGAAGTTTAATGAACGGAAGAAGAAAAAACACGTCTAGTAGACGACAGTCCTCCGAAGTTTCACTCGGGATATAGCTGGAGAGGTTGAACAAGTTTTGTCGTATGAAGCGACGAATGATTAGAGGCCTCGGGGGTGAAACACCGTCGACCTATTAACTTTAACTAGATATAATATAAGATTTCAGGGTTGCTTCAACCTCTCAGTATGCGGCCCCAGCCCTTTGGAGAAAATGAACTCGTCGCCTACTCCGCATCTTTCGGGGCTGGCCCACGGTTGGCAAATTTGATCAATGGCCTGTGTCCCTTTTCCAGCCTCAGAAAGTCGCAGTGAGGGGCCCTCGGCCAATGTATGGCCTCCGTGTACTCGTTGTTTAAGAGAACCCTTAGGAACCAATGTGCGTACTCATTGTTTAAGAGAACCCTTAGGAACCAATGTGTGTACTCGTTGTTTAAGAGAACCCTGAGGAACCCCTGAGGAACCCCTGAGGAACCAATGGGCCATTTTTGGTAAGCAGAACTGGCCATGCGGGATGACCCGAACGCCTAGCTACGGTGCCAAATTGCATGCTAACCTAGATACCAGCATGGGTGTTGACTCTGTTGAGTCACTGTTGACTGCTTACAGACAGCAGGAAGGTGGAGATGGGAGTTCAAATCCGCTAAGGAGTGTGTAAAAGCTCACCTGCGGAATCCATCCGCCCCGAAAATAGATGGCGCGGAAGAGCATGACCGATGCTTGACCGACGTGAAGCGCATGACCTGCTCGGCCGACGTGAAGCGCATGACCTATGCTCGGTCGGCGTGGCGGCTCTGATACTGTGACGAGTAGGAGGGCATGAGGCCATGAACCGAAAGTCCAGCTACGACGCTAGCCCAGATACGACCATGGGTGTTGATTGATGCAGACAGCAGGACAGTGGTCATGGAAGTCGAAATCCGCTAAGGAGTGTGTCACAGCTCACCAGCCAAACCAATCAGACCCCAAAACGGATGGAACTGAAGCGCATGACCTACGCTCGTCGCGTTCGTGGCGACTCTGATGTCGCGACGAGTAGGAGGGTGTGAGGCCTGCTCCGAAGCCTGGTGCGTGAGCCTAGGTGAAGCGGGATCCCGTGCAGATCCTGGTAGTCATAATAGCAAAATATTCAAATGAGAACTTTTGAAGACCAAAGAATGGAGAAGGGGTCCGTATCTGGAACTGTACTGGTCCTGATACATTCAAATGTTGGACCGCTTCAAATGTATCTGGCCCACATTGCGTTCCAGATACATGTCAAATGCTGAGCAGTGGAGCAAGGCCATAAGTGAACACAGAAGCAGAAAGAAAAGGAGGTCAGCAAAGATGTCGGTACGAGATAGTGGCTCAAAAGCAATCTTCTTTGTTTTCTTTCTTCCTTTTTTTTTTCTCTGTTTTCTTTTCTGTTTAATGAACTTTAATCTGAAAAGCAATCCTTTTTTTTTTCTTTTTTTCTTTTCTCTTTAAGCTGAAAAGCAATCCTACCGTAACTATGTAGAGTCGAATATAATACGTCATTCATTCCACCACCTTCCTCATAGCAATCCTTTTTGTTTGGCTTTTTTTTTCTCTTTTTCCCTCTTTTTTTTTTTCTTTTCCTTTTCTACCTTCTCCTTATTCTTTTTTTTTTTTTTTTTGGAAGCTGAAAAGCTATCCTACCGTAACTGTGTAGAGTCGATATAAGACGTCATTCATTCCACCGACTTCCTCGTTCAGCGACTGCCAGTGTCTCTCGATCGTGTACCGGGCAATTACATTCTTCACACGATCACCGAAGTAGGTCGCCATGTCCACAACCATTCCCAGTGCTTGCTTGTTCCCAACAAAGAGGTACTGATCCAAAAGCCCTGCCATTATCTACATCAATCAAATAGAGAGCACAGCACACACAGCAACAGAAATACGAGGTCAGTCATTTTCGAGGCAAGTATGCCTACCGTCTTCACCCGAATAGAACGCCCGGTCATCATATCTGTATTTGGTGCAACTTTCAGTCCAGATGGGGCAATAATTACCGGCCGTTCTATTCGGGTGAAGACGGTAGTATTGCCTACGTCTATATGGATTTAACGAGTAGTTCTCAAATGTGAAGACCCCCAGCATGAGGAAGAAGAATTTGCATAGCAACACTCGCTGCAAACACCTATAGCAAATATCACCCTACTGCCTTCACCTGAAGAGAACGCCAGGTCATCATCGCTGCATATGGACTGAAAGTTGCACCAAATACAGCTATAATGACCAGGTGTTCTATTCGGGTGAAGAAGGTAGCGGCTTCCTCAGGGTCACAGGACCTACCCACACAGCTTCAGGGTTAACCCACCCCCACTTCATGACAGGATCAGAGGAACCCATGCAGACATGGGGAGAAAGGGGGCAGAGGGGGGAGGATGCGTGGGCAGGGGGCTGGGGGGGGTGGGGAGCGGACTCGGGGGAGAGCTACAGCCGTCAGATCAACATTTCATTGAACCAGCTGAAAAAAGTGTGGGCCTCGCTCGTGATAACACGGGTGGTGATGAAAGGTAGTGGTGACGAGGCCCCTTCTACAATTCTCAGCAACTTATTACTGCTTTTTTTTCCCTTCTTTAAAGTTCTTTTCATTATCTTTTCTGTGCTTCTTTAGCCTTTTTTCCTTTCGGTTTATTTTTTCAGGGGGGTGTTGGGGGGGGGGGATGGTTGACTGCACTCTTCTGCAAAGCGTGAGGCCCTCCGCCTAGGTTGGAAGGGGCCTGCCTCCGCAGGGATCTGTCTGCACCCGCCCTAGGTGAAGGCAGGCCCTCAGGAAAATCGACGAGGCCTTCCTAAAGGCCAATGTGAGAAGAATGGCGCCGCGTGGGTTGGTTGCTGCACTGTGGCATACTGCATAGCCACACAGGCCCTGTAGGACCCGTCCCGGACATTCAGCCTAAAAGCCTAAAACTTAGGATCTACAGGCCCCAGTCGTTTCAGCCTGAAAACTGAAAAACGAGGGCCTGCAGGCCCTACTCCGTTTCAGCCTATTTCTGGGTCTTTCAGACCTAGAGTTTTTCCAGCCTGAAACGGAGTGCTATTCTTAGGCCCTGGGCTATTTTTAGGCCCTCATTTGTTTCGACCTGCCCTAAGATTCAGGCACGA